ATTTTATCTTTATTATAGCTTCGGACGTGGGAAGTCAGCCCCGGTATTGTCTGGTAACTATACTCTCGTTTCTACTAACTGTATGTTTTTCGGGTAACTATATATTTTCCCCCCTGGTAACTGTATGGAAATTAGTAACCATTGAAATTAGATGTTTGAGAAGGAAGAGGTCAAATCAGCAATGAGGTCAAAAGAATCAGAGCGCGCTCAGTTGCTTGGTAAGCTATGCTATTGTTGTCAATGACTCCTTTAATCCAGCTTCTTGTACTTCACCTTCTACCTCTTGATGTTTCCATTTTCAAGTTGTACCTTTTGCTGCCGACATCGTTGGGTTCATTTGTCTCTCCCTATATCATCGGTCTTGCCAGAGTGTTGGAAAAAGAAACCGACAGACAGGCCGGCTCAGCACAACTTGGTGGAATATTGCTGCATGAGAAGACAGACGTGTTTAGGGCCTTGCAGGAGAACACGTACAATTCGGGGCAGCAAATGGATCACCAGTCTGGTGAGAGCGGTGCAATGGGGTGTTGGGAGGGAGGGGGTGGTGGTGTGATAAGAGGATCTGGCTGCTACTCGACGCTAAGAGGAAATGCTGGACGGACGTATAATCAAACTGCTGCTGGTACCATTGGTATCAGAATTCTACTCCGGCTGCTGAAGATGAGGACGCAGCGTTCATGGGAATGCCCAGAGTGCTGTGATGTCGGTTTTTGAATCAACTCAATTTAATTCAACTCAGCTCTCTATATCAGTCATTATTACTGTCTTCTTCTTTACACTCTATTTTACCAAGTATCCAGGGAGATACAAGGTCCCGCTTCGTGCTCTTCTGGCTGCTTCGATCATAGACTAATCGGGGTCCTGTAAAGTTTCTTTCATGTGATTGTTCTTGGTCTACCTCTTGCTCTACGTCCCTCTCATGCGTTGGCGTATGCCTTGTTTGGCATAGCATCAAGAACGTATTCTCTCCAGGTTAGCAAACCATTTGATTTTCTGTCTTTGAATGTAATTTAGAATTGGTTCTGTGTCGACTTTATCTCGTATGACCTCATTCCTGATTTGATCTTTTCTGGTCACTCCACTCCTACAGTCATTTTCAGACATCTAATTTCCATGGTTGCTAATTTTCTTTTATGTTTTGTTGTGACTGACCACGTCTGGGAATGGTAGCATAGGGTGGGAATGAATATGCTTTGAATGAGATGTATCTTTGTGTTGACTGGGATTGCCTTGTGCTGTAAGAGGGGTGCTAGCTGTCCCAATACTTGGCCTGCTTTACTGCATCAGATGTCAGTTTCTTTATCCAATTTACCATCTTCAGTTAATGTTGTTCCAAGATATTTAAACTACAAGATATTTGAATTATTACTGCCTGATTGCCTATTACTGATTTAAGAAGATAGCACACGCGCAGCAGATCTCTTAAGGTGTAAATGAGTGCCTGTGTTTAGTAGTGTATGCGTGAATGAAAAAATGGTAACGTTGGGAGATGTGAACCAGCGTCATTGCACACGGTTATAAACCATAAATGCTCTTCCACTAGTACTGACAGCTGATAAGAAACTGTCCGCTGTGTCGCCGTTCGCACGAAACTCCTTAGCTACAGTGACGTTCCTCCATTTACCCCAGTGTGTTATCTATGGTACCCATTACCTAGAGGCTGGGTAAACCCCGGGAACCGCCCGGTTTCGAACACCGACCGTGGGCTGCAGCGAGTCGCAGCTGAATTTGATAGCGAGTCTCCTATCGATTGCGCTAACGCGGCCCCTACGCGTAAATGTTTATTAGAAAATGTGTATTTAGTTTTATTATGTAAATAAATGT